CCGCTCCTCTGCACATGCGCGCATAACCCCCCTGCCCCGCTGCCCCCGCTTTTGGCACGCGATGGCATGGTGGGTCTGGTAGGCCTATTTTTCACCCTCCCCAGGCTCCAGAGCCTTTCTAGGAGCCTGGGGAGGGCAAAAACGGCCTTCCCCAATCCCCAGAGGCCCTCCGGAGGCCGGAAACAGCATGTTTCCTGACTTCCGGTGGGCCAAGAAGGCCCGAAAATCAGCTGGCTGGTGCATGCATGTGCGCTGGAGATGAGCTAGGGCAATGCTCACGTGCCATAGGTTCGCCATCATGGCCCTAGGTCAACTGCGGTGCACATGAGCGTGCAGGCCAACTGATTTTCGGGCCTTCTGGGCACACTGGAAGTTGGCAAATGGGCCATTTCTGGCCTCCAGAGGGCCTCCAGGCAGGTGGGGAAAACCTCCGCTTTTGGCACGCGACGGCAAAAAGATTAGCCATCACTGCCGTATATCAATCTGGACAAATGGTTGCCCAGTCTCTTCTTGAAAACCTCCAGAGAGGACGGCTGGTTTGAAAGAGGGGTCAAAGAGGCCATCTGTGTTCAAACTGAACAGCCCTCTCTCAACAGAGGGGAAGGGATACGACATTTATTTTTTAAAAAAATTTGATTTATATACCGCCCTTCTCCGGAGACTCAGGGCGGCTTACAGTGTGTTAAGCAATAGCCTTCATCCTTTTGTATATTTTTATACAAAGTCTGCTTATTGTCCCTCACAGACTGGGTCCTCAATTTACCTACCTTAGAAAGGATGGAAGGCTGAGTCAACCTTGAGCCTGGCGAGATTCGAACCTGCAGTAATTGCAGGCAGCTGGTCTTAATAACCAGCTTAATAACAGGGTGCCTTAGATCACTGTACTACCAAGGTTTGCAGCGTCTTTAATCAGGTTAAGCACAGCAACACAGGCAGGAGTAAGGCACAAGCCGGCATTGATGTTTAAAGTTAGCGCTACACGCAGCCGCTGTGTAGCGCTCTTTATACACTTAGTAACAAGCAATTTACCATTCGGCAATCAAACAGACATCAATAGACATGATCTATCTCCAGTCCTTTCAGAGGTTCCAAGAAGACCCCACACCCATTTGCACCACTCACTTGACCCTGAGGAAACAGATAAACCTCCAAGTGCTTCAAGGACCCTCTAAAACAGTGTTTCTCAACCTTGGAAGCTTGAAGATGGGTGGACTTCAACTCCCAGAATTCCCCAGCCAGCAGCGCTGGCTGGGGGATTCTGGGAGTTGAAGTCCACCCATCTTCAAGCTACCAAGGTTGAGAAACACTGCTCTAAAAGGATGCAAATGACCAGCTGCCTGCAAGGAGTATAAATCCTTCCTTTCTCCACCATAAAGTCAGAGCCAAAGAAGCTTCTTGGATGAGAAGTGAAACATCTTCAAAGAAAAACAAGAAAGTCCAGTTGTTTCTTGCGGGGAGGGGGGGAGGAAACACCTTTGGGACAATCGATACCTGGATGACCGAGAAGCTCCATAGATGATCCATTGATTAATTGTTCTAATTAAGAGCCTTGGTGGCGCAGCAAACTAAAATGCTGTTAAGTAGCACCAGCCGCCTGCAATTATTGCGAGTTCAAATCTCACCAGGCTCAAGGTTGACTCAGCCTTCCATCCTTCCGAGGTAGGTCAAATGAGGACCCGGATTGTGGGGGCAATAAACTGACTTATTCGTATAAAAAAGAACACCGCTTGGGGGGGGCGAAAGCCCTACTAAGCAGGAATATACAAAAGGATGAAGGCTATTGCTTAACGCATTGTAAGCAGCCCTGAGTCTCTGGAGAAGGGCGGCATATAAATCGAACCAATAAATAAATAAATAAATAAATAATTGTCAGGGAATTTCTCCTTAGTTCTAGGTTGCTTCTCTCCTTGATTAGTTTCCATCCGTTGCTGCTGAGGAAGGGGGAAAGATGGACGCCTTAGAGTTGGTAAACAAGGGCTGAGAAACTCTGCAGAAAATCCAAGGATAATGTAATATCTACATTAGTACCTAACAGTCCTCGACTTACGACCACAACTGGGTCGTAGTTTCTGTTAGACCCACAATTGGGTCTAATTTCCGTTGCTAAGCAAGATGGATGGCAAGTGCGTTACACCCCATTTTATGACCTTTTTCACGCTGGTTGTTAAACGAACCGTTATGGTTGTAAAGTGAATCATGCCATCGTTAAGCAAACCCGGCATTCTCCCACTGACTTTGTCGGAAGCCGGGTGGAAGGGATCACCCAAGGTGATTGCGTGCCCTCAAGGGTCATAAAATGCATCTCAGTTGCCAACTGCCCACGAGGAATGCCGCGATGGTCGTAAGCACGAGGACCAGTTGCAAGTCACACAGCATAACTTCGAACATTTCGCTACGTACAGGAAATCAACTTACAATAAGTCACCTAGCAGCCACTTGAAATTGCGACGGATGCTCCTGTAATGCTATTTTGAAACCCGTTTTCAAAGAGGGCCGATGCAAGGAAGTGTCCCTCCCTTTGGACACGTGGTCGCATTTTGGGTGCTCTGTAACCGGCTTGCATTTACCACCGTTTGCAGTGTCCCAAAACCACATAACCACAATCTAGGAAGAGCTTTGCCAGGAACCCAAATGCATTTCCGTTTTTCAGCAAAATGTACTCTTTAACAAACAAGCATTTCGCTTAATATCTATGAAGATTCTCAGTCATCCAGTTCCTGGCTGTCCCAAAAGTGCTTTTTGCAAAAGGCAAGTGGACTTTCTTGTTTTTTCTTTGAAGACGTTTCGCTTCTCATCCAAGAAGCTTCTTCAGCTCTGACTGAACGATGATGAATGGAAGGATTGATACTCCTTGCAGACAGCTGGTCATTTGCATCCTTTTAGAGAGCCGTTGAAGACACTTGGAGGTTTATCTGTGTCCTCAGGGTCACCTGAGTGGTGCTCCTGGTTCCTGTAGTCTGCAATTTTTTCCTCTGGAAATCCATTCCTACTTCCACACCGTTCAAAGGGTGCTCGTCCCAAATTGTGTAGCTAAAAGTTTGTAGATATTCTCAGTCATCCAGGTTGTCCCAAAGGTGCTTTTTTTCAAGAGGCAACTGGTCTTTCTTGTTTTTTCTTTGAAGATGTTTCACTTCTCATCCAAGAAGCTTCTTCAGCTCTGACTGAGGAATGGAAGGATTTATATTCCTTGTAGACATCTGGTCATTTGCATTCTTTTAGAAAAACATTGAGGCCACCTGGAGGTTTGTTGTGTCCTCAGGGTCACCTTGAATAGTGCAAAAGAGCCATCTATTTTCCACACTTTCAGAATCAGAATCAGAATTAAGCTGGAAGGGAACTTGGAGGTCTTCTAGTCCAACCCCGAGGACCTTATACCATTTCAGACAAATGGTTGTCCAATCTCTTCAAACCCTCCAGTGTTGGAACACCTACAACTTCTAGAGGCAAGTTGTTCCACTGGTTAATTGTCCTCACTGTTAGGAAGTTTCTCCTTAACTCCAGGTTGCTTCTCTCCTTGATCAATTTCCATCCGTTGTTTCTTATCCTGCCTTCTGGTGCTTTAGAGCAGGGGTCTGCAACCTTAAACACTCAAAGAGCCATTTGGACCCGTTTCCCACAGAAAAGAAAACACCGGGAGCCACAAAACCCTTCCCATGCCTGATTATTTCTTGAGCGGCCACAAAACTAGCATATGTTGTTGAAATAAATGTTCTGTTTTCTTCTGAAACTTTTCTTTTCTTGGATTGATTGATTGATTGATTGATTGATTGATTGATTGAATTTGTATACCGCCCTACTCCCGAAGGACTCAGGGCGGTGAACAGCCATGGAATAAAACATATAAATACAAAATTTAAAATAGATAAAAACGAATTAAATAATTTGGCTGAACAAATTTAAAACCCCAATAATTTAAAACCAGATTTAAAATTTCCATTTAAAAAGGGGAAAGACTTAGGTCAGGCTGGCTTGATGAAATAGGAAGGTCTTAAGCGCGCGACGGAAGGTACACAGATCCGGGATCCTCCGTATCTCCGGGGGGAGCTCGTTCCAGATAGTAGGTGCCCCCACAGAGAAGGCTCTCCCCCTGGGGGCCACCAGTCGACATTGTTTGGCCGACGGCACCCGGAGGAGCCCCTCTCTATGGGAGCGCACTGGTCGGTGGGAGGCTATTGGTGGTAGTAGGCGGTCCCATAAATAACCAGATCGTAAGCCATGGAGCGCTCTAAAGGTGATAACCAAAACCTTGAAGCGCACTCAGAAGACCACCGGGAGCCAGTGCAGCTCGCGCAGGAGAGGTGTTACATGGGAGCGCCACGTTGCTCCCGTCACCACCCACGCGACCACATTTATCCATGATTGGCCTACCGGGGGTTGAAAAGCTCAATAAATCGCGTGCCGGCAGGTGTCGCACATTGGCAGTTGTGACGCATATTATGAATGATAGGGAGCCACAGCAGAGGGGTGAAAGAGCCACATGCGGCTCCAGAGCCACAGGTTGCTGACTCCTGCTATAGAGAATAAGTTGGCCCACTCCTCTTCTTCGTGGCAGCCCCTCATATATGGGAACACAGCTATCCTGCCACCCCCCTACTCCTTCTTTTCTCTACAGACGAGCCTTGCCCAAATCCTGCAACCTCTCTTTGCAACGCACCATTTTTTGATTGTAACGTACAGTCAACATCTCCCAGTGACCAAGGGAAAGTGCATTCCCTGCTGGTGTCGTGGCAGAGAGCCGAGGGCGAAATTAACCACCAACTGCAATGGATTACGAAGGCCAACTAGGGTCGCTCATTGCATTCTCAGATGTTATATGAGCATCTTAAGCCGGGAGGGTGGGAGGGGGGGGGGGGCTTGTCAAACTTAATAGGAAACATATGTTTGTGTGTCTCTCTGCATGTGTGTGTGTGTGTGTGTGTGTGTGTGTGTGTGTTCTCCTTCTCCTCCTCCTCCCTGCTCGCTCTTAAAGCTGGGAAATTCCTGCCTGCCTCTTTTTTTTTTGCAGATCAAAAATCGCAGAAGAGTCCCCCTTCCAGCAAATACCATGCTGAGCACAATTGTAGCCTTTTTAAGTATTTGGCTTGTCCTCTCCACACCTCTCTTGGCCAGTTTCTGTCCCAGCCGATGTTTGTGTTTCAGGACGACAGTGAGATGTATGCATCTGATGCTGGAGAGCGTTCCCGAAGTCTCACCGCACACAAACGTCCTGTAAGTAATTGTTTTACTTGGGGGTTACAATCCTGGGTTCGCTTCTCAAATCAAACTGTGGCACGCGAAGCTTTTCCAAGCCAGTTTAGCCTAGAGAGGGAAACCTGGCTAGGCTTCAGCAGGCTTCTTGTCGCAGATGTGATAGTTAGGATTGCAAAAAATGAATGATTTGCTGCTTCTTCTTTTTTTAATAGCAGGGGAATAAGAGCAAGATACTTTTCAGGGCTGTTCTAACGGCAAACTTTTGAGCAGCAGCCAGAAGTGTTTTACCCAGACAGATAGCTAGATGGCTAGAATGGATAGATAGATATCCTGTTTCCCCCCAAATAAGACATCCCCTGATAATAAACCCAATCCGGCTTTTGAGCGCATGGCAATAAGGCCAAGCGTTTATTTCAGGGTTCAAAAAAATATAAGACAGGCTCTAATTTTCGGAAAAACACGTTAGATAGATAGATAGATGATAGATAGATAGATAGATAGATAGATAGATAGATAGATAGATAGATAGATGATGGATGGAGGGACGGACAGACAGACAGACAGACAGACAGAACATCAGGACAACTAGACACAAGGACAGTTTTTTCCCGCATGCCATCACTAAACAACTAATTCCCACAACAGTCAAACTATTTACTAAGGCTGTATTACTATTATTCTTCTCATCCTTCCTGTTACCTATCTCCTCCTACTTATGACTATAAACTTGTTGCTTGTATCTTTACGACTTATATTGTTTTATACTTATATTGTTTTATGACTTATATTTAGTTTCCTAGTATGATTTGATTGCTTATTTAGCACCCTCTCATTATCACTATGTATCTTATGATTCTTGATTTTTATGTACCCTGAGAGTTTATGTACCGAAAACAAATTCCTTGTTTGTCGAATAACACTTGGCCAATAAAGAATTCTATTCCATCCTATTCCTATTCCTATTCTATTCTATTCTATTCTATTCTATTCTATTCTATTCTATTCTATTCTATTCTATTCTATTCTTATTCCTTATTTCTATTTTATTCTATTCTCATTCTTATTCTATTCTTATTCCTTATTTCTATTCTATTTTATTTTATTTTATTAAGTCTTAGTCTTAGTCTTAGCCTTATTCTATTCTTATTCCTTATTCCTTTTTCCTTATTTCTATTCTATTCTATTCTATTAAGTCTTAGTCTTAGTCTTAACCTTATTCTATTTTTATTCCTTATTCCTTATTCTATTCTATTCTATTCTATTCTATTCTATTCTATTCTATTCTACAACACTGTTAAACTATTTACTAAGGCTGTATTACTATTATTCTTCTCATCCTTCCTATTACCTATCTCCTCCTACTTACGACTATAAATTTGTTGCTTGTATCTTTACGACTTATACTGTTTTATTTAGTTTCTTAGTATGATTTGATTGCTTATTTAGCATCCTATGATTATCACTACGTATCTTATGATTCTTGATTTTTATGTACCCTGAGAGTTTATGCACCGAAAACAAATTCCTTGTGTGTCGAATAACACTTGGCCAATAAAGAATTCTATTCCATCCTATTCCCATTCCATTCCATTCTATTCTATATTCTTATTTCTATTCTATTCTATTCTATTCTATTCTATTCTATTCTATTCTATTCTATTCTATTCTATTCTATTCTATTCTTATTTCTATTTTATTCTATTCTTATTCCTTATTTCTATTCTATTCTATTCTATTCTATTAAATCTTAGTCTTAGTCTTAACTTTATTCTATTCTTATTCCTTATTCCTTATTCCTTATTCCTTATTTCTATTCTATTCTATTCTATTCAATCTTAGTCTTAGTCTCTATTCTATTCTATTCTATTCTATTCTATTCTATTCTATTCTATTCCATTCCATTCCATTCCATTCTATATTCTATCCTATCCTATCCTATCCTATCCTATCCTATCCTATCCTATCCTATCCTATCCTATCCTATCCTATCCTGTTCCATTCCATTCCATTCCATTCTGTGTATGTGTAGATGTAGATGTAGATATTTCTAAATGGGGAGGAGAATATATTGCTTTCTCTTTATTTCAGCTTCCAGTCCGGGGTGGATTCTATATGTTTTTGTTTTTCTTTGATATTTGGGACACCTTGTTTCCTTTTACACCCATTCAGTCAAGACATATTCTTTGGGTTCAACTGTACTTTCGATCAGCAGAAGGAGAACCGTTCATGGCAAGAAACTTCCATGCAAAGACAGTTTAATACATGGCAGGGGTTTCCAAACACGGCAACTTAAGACTTGTGGACTTCAACTCCCAGAATTCCCCAGCCAGCCATGTTGAAGTCCACAAGTCTTAAAGTTGCCGTGTTTGGAGACCTCTGGTATAGTTGGAGACCTCTGGTATAGGGAGGGTCTCTCCGCTCGAGCAAGGGGTTGGACTAGTAGACCTCCAAGGTCCCTTCCAGCTCGTACAGTATGTTCTAGAAACACAGCAAGCTTGTTTTAAAAGAATGCATATGGATGTGTTTCCTTGTCCCTGAGGGCATCTTGCAAAGGCCAGAAGGGATGAATGAAACCTTTGTGCGGTGGAGAATTGGTGATCCAGGGATAGAGCTTTCGCAAACGGCTGCGAGGGAGATGTGAGTACCTGGGACAGCACGTAGGAAATGTTCCTTTTTGAACCGTTCCAACAGTTACAGCCTTTTCACAGGTTTGTGGGGCGTTTCCCCAAATGAGGTGGAAACATGATTTTATGCGCAGGCTGGTTGAGGCAGATCCCGTAGCATCGCTTCCGAAGCTTGATTCCATAGTAATAAACCTTCTGGGTTTTGTGCAGTGGTGAAATCAAAATGTTTTTATTATTGGTTCTGTGAGTGTGGCTTGGTGGGCGTGGTGTGGCTTGGTGGGCGTGGTGTGGCTTGGTGGGCGTGGCAGGGGACGGATACTGCAAAATCTCCATTCCCTGCCCACTCCAGGGGAAGGATACTGAAAAATCCCCATTCCCTCCTCACTCCTGGGGGAAGGATACTGCAAAATCCCCATTCCCTCCCCACTCCTGGGGGAAGGATATTTGCAAAATCCCCATTCCCTCCCCACTCTGAGGGGAGCCTGAGTGGCGTAGGAGGCTAATGCCTCCTACTAAGGCAGCATTTAACATCCAGCTGCCTGCAATTACTGCGAGTTCAATTCTCACCAGGCTCAAGGTCGACTCAGCCTTCCATCCTTTCTAAGGTGGGTAAAATGAGGACCCGGTTTGTGGGGGCAATAAGCTGACTTTTGTATATTTATACAAATATACAAAAGTATGAAGGCTATTGCTTAACGTATTGTAAGCCGCCCTGAGTCTCTGGAGAAGGGCGGCATATAAAAATAAATAAATAAATTTTAAAAAAAACACTTTGGGACCAGCCAGAGGTGGTATTTGCCAGTTTTCTTTACTACTCAAAATTTCCACTACCGGTTCTCCAGAACCTGTCAGAACCTGCTGGATTTCACCCCTGGTTTTCTGTGAATCGGGGGGGTTATTTATTTATTTGTTTATTTATTTTATTTATTTATTTGTCTATTTTATTTTATTTATTTGTCAAGCATATATAAGATAACAGGTAAAAGCATAAACATAATTTGAATACATGAAAAGAGTAAGAGTAAAAAGGAACATTAGGACAGGGACGGTAGGCATGCTGGTGCACTTATGTTTATGTTTATGTTTAATAAACGTATATTTATTGCGTGCACTCGTGCATTAAGGGCCTGGAGACTAAAACATATGAAGAGCGGTTGCAGGAATTGGTTATGGCCAGAGTAGAGAAAAGAAGGACTAGGGGGGGACATGATATTCCAGTATTTAAGGGGTTGCCACAAAGAAGAGGGAGTCAATCTATTCTCCAAAGCACCAGAGGGCAGGACAAGAAACAATGGATGGAGACTCATCAAGGAGAGAAGCAACCTGGAATTAAGGAGAAACTGCCTAACAGTGAGGACAATCAACCAGTGGAACAGCTTGCCACCAGAAGTTGTGGGTCCTTCATCTCTGGAGGTTTTTAAGAAGAGACTGGACTGCCACTTGTCTGAAATGGTATAGGGTTTCCTGCTTGAGAAGGGGGTTGGACTAGAAGACCTCCAAGGTCCCATCCGACTCTATTTCGATTGATTGAAAAACATGCATCTATTCGTGGCATTCTGTCTGTTAAACTTTTCTGCTCAGATGGGAAGTGAAAAAGAGCAAGCAGCATCAAGTGTGCAACTGGTAGGAAAAGTAAACATAGGATTCCCACATGCTTTAGAGGAGTAGGCTGCACATTCTCTGTCTGCACCCGTTAGAAGAATATAATTTTCAGAAGGTTGTAACGGTTTCCACCTGACTGGACTGGACTCTATCCAGGTAGTCCTCGATTTACGGCCAAAATTGAGCTCAAAATTTCTTCTGCTAAGTGAGATGGTTGTGAAGTTGAGTTTTGCCCCATTTTACGACTTTTCTTGCCACCGTTGTTAAGTTAATCACTGCAGTTGTTAAGTAAGTAACACGGTTGTTAAGTGAATCTGGCTTTCCCATTGACACTGCTTGTCAGAAGGTCGCAAAAGGGGGTCACATGACCTCAGGACGTTGCGACCTTCCTAAATATATACTAATTTAACAACTGCGGTGATTCATTTCAACAACTGTGACAAGAAGGTCGCAAAATGGAGCAAAATTCCCTGAACTGTCTCACTTACAACAGATGTTTTGGGGTCATTTGTGGTCGTAATTCGAGGATCTTGATATTTAAGATAATTAAAAGTATGAGAAGCATGGCTGTATTTTTAAAGAGAGCATTTTGAGAACATATTAGGACAAAATGAATAATCTTTGTTAGGGAAAAAAAATCCACCAGAGATATATCAGGTTGCCTAGATTTAAAATATTCCTCAAGGTTTGCTGTAATTTGAGTCTTCAGAAGAACTGAGAGGAGAGAGAGCTAGTGGAAAATATATGATGTGTGCTTGTCTCTAATTGGAGAACTTAAAACAGGAAAGGAGG